GGTCTCTGCCCTCAAGCAAAAAGGCAACATTCATTTCCTCCCTCCCTCCCTCCCTTCCTTTCTTCCTTCCTTCCTTCCTTTTGCCTAGCCTGTGCTAGCTGACTTAGTGGAACATGTAGTCAGGGTCCTCAGAAGGCAGCTGACTACTACTACCCTGGGGGTCTAGGGGTAACCCTGAGTAGTTTGAGATGCCTGCTACTCTGCTCATAAGCCTCCACCAGTGCACCACCCCCCACCCCTCCATTGATTATCAGACAAAGATAGCCTAGGCTATGTATTTACTAAAGAGGAATAGCAAGGACAGCTATTCTAGGAACATCCTAGGGACGTAGTCTCCCCGGCATCCACAAAGTTCCTGGGGAGAGTGGGATCAAGTTTCTGGTGCAACAGAAGTGGAAGAGCCTTGGTCTTATTGCTGCTTCTACAAAGGACCACAGGCCTACGCCCCACCCCCATCCCTATCCAACATGATGACCCCATCACTCTTCTATTCAAAGTCTTCTTGTTGGTTGAAGTCATTTTCTCCTGGACTCAGAGTCTAGAAGACCTGAGTTCGAATCCTTCCTCAGTCACTTACTAATTGTGTGATCCAGGCCAAGTCACCTCACCCCTGTCAGCCTCAGTTTCCTGGGGACAGTGCACCTCTCTGCGGAGGATTGCCTGACTCTGGGGTGTAGAAACGGGGATTTGGAGTGTGGGGATGATAAAAACACCTGCCCTCCATGGTTGTTGCTAGAAGCAAGTGAGATAATGGTTGTAAAATGCTTTGTAGGCCTTAAAGCACTACAGAAATGCTAGCTATTATTACACTGCTTTCACTCTGTTCACTTGGCCTTCTCTGGGTACAAACATCAGAGGCCCAAGCGTCTCTACTCCCACTCTTGCCAAATATCATCCCCTCCCCCAGCTACTCTTCTTTCTCCTGGACACCCTCTGATAATGCCTTAATGGACACTGGTGGGAGCTCTCTCTCTCTAACCCTCCATTTCTGCCTTTCTCTTCTGAAGTCTGTTGTTCAATCAGCATTAATGAGGAGAGCCCTCCTCTGCCACTCAGGGCTCCAGTTTCTAGCCTGAGACTTTTCCCGTCCACTTTCTTGGTCCCTTAGAGCAGAAGGATGGAGCATTCGCTGTCCAGTTCGATGAGAGGCCCTATCACACCCCAGAGAAGTGCCAGAGAGGACGCACATTCCCAATCACTCACAGCCCTTGTCCCCACTGGCTGCCCCAGGCTCTCCCACCAGTGAACACAATCTGCTTCTTCTTCTTCTGAGGGTCCCACAGCCAGGTCCGGAGCCTCCGTGATCCTCCCTCTCTCAGTCTTCTCTGAGTCCCCTTGCTCTGCCCTCCAGCCCTGGCACAAGCCTGGCTCTCCGTCAGATTCTCTTTCCCTCTTCTCTCAAGGACTCGCTCTCCCTGCTGCGGTGGAATCCAGAGCAGCTGTCCTTCGGCACATGCCTGCCAGCCTGCCTAAAAATAGAACACACAGACACCATCTACACCTGGGTCAAATCCCAGGGAAGGGAGGCAGGGCGTACAGAGGGCACAGCCCAGCTGCCAACCCTGCTCCTGCTGCTGGCTCACCCTGGGACTTCAGACAGATCATTTCACTTTTCTGGGCCTCAGTTTCCTCCTGGGTGACTTGGCAACTCCAGCATTCTGCAGCTGTTCAGCTGAGGCTCCCGGCACGGATGATGCTCACTCCAATGTCCTCAAGGACAAAAGAACATGGAGGGAAAAGATTGTTCCCACGTGGAAGCAGGCTCCTGGCAGGAGCAGAAGCCACCTCCCTGGATGAGAAATGGCACCCCCTCTGCTTTTTCATGGCTTCAGTGAGGGGTAGCCAAGAGACCTCAGAACAGTGTCCCATGGGGCTGACAAAGGCATCCCGCAGAAATCCGTCACCGGAGAGGGGCTGAGCCTGGGCCCAAGAGGGGGCCACCTACACTCTCCCTGCTGCCGGTACCCGCCGGGGGGGCTCAGTGTGGTGAGTCGCCAGCCACGGTCCTCCCTTCCCTGGGAAAGGCCTTCACCCTGGGGAGCCCTGCTGTCCTCAGGGAGTGGGTGGGCCCCTCACATCTCCCTCCTACTGCTGGAGGCTGGATGGAGCCTTGACAAGCAATGGAGGCTGGGATGTCTTTAAGAAAACAGAGCGGTGGACGGGGGTGGCCCCCACCTCCGAAAAGTCCCACAGAGACAGAGAGTGCCTGCTTGTCTCCTTCACATTCTGCCCGGAGCCAGGATCTGGCGGGGGGGGGGGGGCCCTTGGAGAAGACCAGCAGCTCCTTCCCCATCTCACTGGGGAAACACGATGTCCAATGAGGGGTGGCCAGCTGGAGATGGCGTTCGATGAGGGTCTTGTGCTACAGCCAGGCAGCTCACTCCTTGGACGGCAGAGATGGAGTAATGATCCCTGGGTGGAGTAATCAGGGAAGGCTTCTTGAAGGTGGGACCTTAGAGGCAGCCTGGAGTCACGCCATCCAGAGCAGTGGAGCCAAGGGCTGAAGAACAGTGGGGCTGTGCTGCAGAGGGTGTGGCGGGGGAGGTGGGGGGTGCTGCTGAAGCGTCCAGCCCAGCCCTCCCTGTTCCTGAAAGAAATCCCCCTTTGCGCCCAGCCCGGAGGTCAGCCAGCTTTCCTGAAGGCCTGCACTGAGCGGCCAGGGCAGACCGCTCTCACCTCTGGAAGCTTCTCCACACTTCTGGTCTCCTGGTCAATGCTCTGGGTTCTGCCCCCAGAGGCCAAGCAGAGCTAGCATCACCTCTCCCTCCTCCTCAAAACAGCCTATGGCGGCCAGTCCTCGAGGGCCAAGCAAAGGAGGTTGATTCCCTGGACGAGGTGGGAAAAGTCCGGTTACGGCCTGGAAAGGAACCTAGTCAGGCTGTCCAGGCGCTGAGTTCTAGCCTCAGATCCCTTCCCCTGCCTGGCCTGCTCTCTCTTCACAGAGGCCTGGGTGATCTTGGTGGATCTCCGTGGCCTTCCACCAGCCTCCCGTTTCTTACACCCCAGAGTCAGGCAGTCCTCCACAGAGAGGCGCACTGTCCCCAGGGACTCATGGGACAGGGGGCAGCCCCCCCCAGGCTCATTCCAGGGACCCATCCTGAGAGCAGAAGCAGAGCAGAATTGCTCAGTCATTCAGCAGCCAGGCCAGAGCTGTCCATAGTTCTGAGAAAGAGCCAAGAGTCCAGTGACAGAATGGCCCTTCCCAGCCGCCCCGTCTGTCCAGACTCTGCCCTCTGGCTGTCTGGGCTGCCTTCAATGTCTCTCTGAATGCATGTCTGCCTCTTCCTTTCCCCCAGGACTCCTTCTGCACATCCAGCAGGTGAAGTGTGTGTGTGTGTGTGTGTGTGTGTGTGTGTGTGTGTGTGTGTGAGTGTGTGTGAGTGAAGCACAACAGCCCCGGAGAGAGCTGGTGGAGGACAGAGAACCAGATCTGCACCTCCCCCCCCAGCACCTGCTCCATCTTTTACCTCCCCAGTGCTTAGCAGAATGCCCCACAGACAGCAGACACCTATTGGATAGTTATTGACTAGGTGTGGGCTTCCTCTTTAGATTGTAAGCTCCCCGAGGGCAGGCACTGTCTTTTGTGTGTGTGTGTATGTGTGAGGCAATTAGGGTTAGGTGACTTGCCCAGAGTCACATAGCTAGTGAGTGTTCTGTGTCTGAGGCCGGATTTGAACTCAGGTCCTTCTGACTTCAGGGCCAGTGCGCTAACCACTGCGCAACCTAGCTGCCCTCAGCACTGTCTTTCTTTCTGTTGGCCTAGGCATTAGCTTGGTAATACCTGATGACTTGCTCGGGACTGTTAGAAGGACTGAGCCCAAGGCTGTGGATGTCCCCCTGAGGCCAGCCAGCCAGCTCCCCAGATCTCCAGTTCTTAAGCTTCTTCTGTTTCCCTTTTGTTCTAAAGCTGGTTTTCTAAGATAAATGTGGTTCACCTTGACATTATGATTAGTGTGAGTCCTTGCACAAATGCAGCCTGAGAAAGATTGATATTTCCTTAAACTGCAGTACACACGCACACACACACACACACACACACACCCAGGCACATCCACACACATGCACACACGCACACACACACATACCACACACACACCACACACATACACACCACACACACACACACACACACCACATGCACACACACACATATACACACACATATATTAACCAAAGAGATTTTTCTCTGCCTGAGGACTCAAACTGAACAAAAGAGAATTATTGATCAATTTGTGTAACTTCCCAGAACATGGAGAAAGAAAACAGACTCAGCCTTTCTAGTCAAAGAGTGGGCAGATTTCTTTAGTGGAGTGGTGGGGGAGGCTTGTAGGGAGCTAGTTTGAAAAGAAAACCATTCCTCCAGGGAGAGAATGGTTTGAGGGGAAGGCCTTTGCAAAGTGGAGGACTGAGGAGGGAGTGAGCAGAACCCTTGAGAAGATGGGGGACTGTGTCCCACACACCCACAGCTCACATCGTGGCTGGATGAGGATAAAGACCCTAGCAATGGCAGCTGTCCTGGGGCAGAGTGGGCTGTAGGCAGCAGGGGAGTGTTAGTGCATCCCCCCATGCCCCCAAAAAGATGACCACCTGCTGGCTATGATGCAGAGGTTCTAGGTCAGAATCAGCTGCACTAGAGGCCCTTCCAGCTCTGAGGTTCTAGAGTCTCAGTCTAGACCATCCTGGAGTCATCCTGAAGCAGGCCTAAAGCTGTGTTGTCATCCCCAAGCCTGCCTGCTCCTGACTTTCTCCAGCTTCAGCAGCAGGCCTCCTCTTCTGCCTCCTGACTCCAACTTGGCTCCCCAGCTCCTCACCCACCTATACCGCTGCGCTCCCCTCCGGCCAAGACCTGGCTTTGACCTAGGGCGCCCTGAACACGGTTCTCCCCAGGACCCACGGCCGGCTCACACCAGCTCGCTGGAGCCCACAAGCTGGGCACTGGCCGCTCTTCTCTCCCAGGACCAGCCCCGAGGCACAGCCCCTGGAGACCCAGGCTGACTTACCAGAAGGATGTCAGCCACGATGGCCCAGTTGAAAGAGAGAAGGAGCTCTCCGAGTGCCAGGAAGACCTGTGGACAGAAGAACCGCCGTCATTCTGGCCCTTTCTCCACATGGAAGCCCCTGCCCTTGGGAGGGAAGCTCCTGGAGGGCCAGGCTGGCCCCTCTCCCTTCCCTGCCCCTGGGCTGGGCCCCTCAGTCCGGGCTGCCAGGGACGCCTTCACCCTCACCCACCCATCACTGTTCATCTGCTCCTCATGACTGAAAGCCTAGAAACAGCCCTGTCATCATTGGGCAGTGACAGAGCCAGGCCCAGCCCAAGCCAGGGCTCCTGACAGCAGGCCTGGGCTTTTCCCCTGCCTCACACTGCCCCAAGATCTACCCCAAGACTTAGACCGGCCCGAGTCAAAAGGCATTCATTAAATTCTTTCTTTGTGTGCCCATGACCGAAGGCCCCATCATCTCTCCAGTGAGGCCAGTCAGCACCTCAGATGTCATGGGTAGTGATTGACTCTTCACTGGGACAGCCTGGGGGACTTTGGACGGGTCCCCACCCTCCTGGGCTGCCTCCATCACTCCTGGAGGGCGCTCTCAGTTCTGAGCTCACTGAGGTGTGGGAGAGAAGCACCAGCAGTCACTAGCCAGCACTAGAGCCTGGATTGAAGAGCCTCAGTGTTCCCTCCCCTTTCTTGCATCTCTTTAACCCAGTGAGAAAGCAGGGAGAGACACAGGCTGCTGCCCCACCTCCTTAGACCACCCCCAATCCCTGCCAGCCACCACTGGTCCTCCTGCCCCATTCACTACCCCTAGATCCTGCTATGGTTTCTCAGACACCCCCCACCATGCCCTTGGATTCTCCCCTCCTCTCCCCCCAACAACAAAAAAAAACCAAACTGTTTGCTGGAGCCCTTGTCCATTTGAGTGAAGGTTCTAGGCAGCTGTCCCAGAAAGCCCTGCCCCTCCCCCTCCCCAGGTGTGCTCCAAGGGCTGGGATGGGTTCAGGTGGGAACAGCCTGGCCTGTTCCCAGCAGTTCTGGCCCTTCCCAAGGTGTTGTCCCAGGCATGGTCTCCCCCCATCCTCCCCAGGGCCCCAGGAGTCAAACTGGACACCCCCACTGCCCAGATGAGGACACTGAGGTTCAGTGAGGATTTGTTATTAGTTTTTTTTAGCTAGGATTTATAGAGCACTTTGAGGCATACAAAGCGCGTTACAAATATTCTCATTTGATCTTCACAATAAACTTGGGAGGTAGAGGCTGTTATTACCCCCCTTTTTCAGATGAGGAAACTGAGGCGGATAGAAGTGACTTGCCCAGAGTCATACAGCTAGTGGCTGAGGCTGGATTTGAACTCAGGTCTGACTCCAGGCCTATTCCTGAACCTTCCTGTAGACTCTGGGGTAGGTGTTCACACTGCACATGGAGTAAAGAACTTTGTTACATCTGGGAAACTGAGCCGAGACTGTGTGTATCCAGGGCCCACCACCCTCTGGCCAGCCTCTGCCTGCCTCCAGAAGCTCCCTGCCCCACTCTGGCCTGGTCTTGTCGTGTATCATCTACTGGGGCTCCCCACATGGCCAGGGGGAGGAGATGCTGCTTCCTCTGTCTAGAAAGGACTAGCCACGGATGGATCGCTCCCGTGTCCCCAGAGCTGGGCCATGCTGCTGATGGCCTCAGCAGCACCTAGGGTCTCCCTGCCCATGTGGCTGCACAGTGCCCAGCCATCTGTCAGACCCTGACCCAGAGGGTAGGAGCAGAGCAGTGGGGAGGGACTGCAAAGAGACCAGGAGAACTTCCCAACAGCGAGGGCTGACCCAACATAAGCGGGGCTGCCCTGGGAGGGGGCAGCATGCCCTTTCCGGGGGGTCACTGAACAGAGCCTGGGATGGTCCCTTGAAGGGACGTCAGAGACAAGAGCGCACCGAGGTCCCTTTCTCCTTTTGGATTCCATGATTCCACGCCAAAAGTCAAGATGAAGAAGGGTCAGTCCAAGTAGCCAAGAACCACTCTGTTCTGGCCTCTCCTCCAAGCCTCATGCCTGAGACAGCAGGAGAGTCTGAGCTTTGGACTGAACTCTGCAAATGTGACTGTGGGGCACCGAGATAAGGAAGGGCACTTGTCAATGTAAAGTCTTACACCTGGGCTCAAAAAAATCAACTGTGAAGGACTAGATGGAAGCCGGGAGAGAGGCGGGCACAGCTGGCTCTGGTGGGAGAGGTCCAGATCTGACTTCTCCTGCTTCGGAGGTCTTAGGCAGTCCCTCAGCCTCTGGCTCCCCGCAGGAGGGGCGTCCCAGGAAGGCTGGGCACAAGGGCATCCCCTTTCTGGGGGGTTTCCACTCTCATCTTAGGGGCCAATCAACTGAGATGTGGCGTGAGGTGGGCCTGAGATGGCGAAGTTGTACCCACTGTTTGGCCACACTGTCCTGCACTGTGGGTGCTGTCGGTGCCTTGCCTCCTGGTGGCTGGAGGGGACCCAGGCAGTGCCGCTCCAGTCAGAGCAGGTCCTGCCACGCTAAGAAGCCCCCAGGTCAGTGGCCAGTTCGCTTGTAGTAAGGACCAGCCACGCCCCCGAGTCCATCACTACCAGAGCTGAATGCTGCCGTCCTATCTCCCATCTTCCATCTCTGGGTCTCCTCTGTCCTCTTCTTTCTCTTCCTGGCTCTGGGTTCTGCTCTCTCCTCACTGTCCTCACTGACTTGGATGATCACCTCACTGAGGTCACTGTCCTCACTCCCAGTGATGGCTGGGCAGCCCCAGTCTGAGCCTTCTCATTGGCTCTGCCTTCTCTGACCATGCTCAGCTCCCCAATGGCTCCTAACCATGTCCCCTAGTCCTGAGAAAGGCAGCAAAGCAAAGCCCCCTTCCTTATCCAGCCTTGTTTACAGAGCTCTCCCCATAGCAGCCTGGGCTGCTCCGATTGGGCCCAGACTTGTGGGAGGCTTCTTGAACCCAGTCAAATGTCATCACCATCTGTCAGCACTAACCATGGGGGCAGGGGAAAGCTTAGCAGTCAGGTTCTTTGGGGACAATGTGAGCCATGAGGGTAAGGGAGAGCCCTGCTCTGTCAGAGGTCTTGTTTCATACTTTACTGCTTACCCAACTGGGCGGAGAATGTGTAGCCTCACTTTTCCCCTCTAAAATGGGGTAATAATCCTCGTATTCCTTTCTTCATGGGGACAGCGTGAGGAAAGTGCTTTGCAAACCTCAGAGTGCTATGGAGACATGAGGGGAGCCCTGGTAAAGCATGCTGGGGTGGCAGGCAGGCAGGCTCGCCAGGGAGATCTGACTTAGCTGACTCTTTGGAGGACGCTCAGAGCAGAGCGCCCTTGGAGTGCCCAGAAGCCTTTCGTGCCTATGACTCCACAAGCAGATTCTCACAGCAGGCCTTCAAGCAGGGCTGTGCTCCTGGGATGGTTGTCTCCATTTTACAGATGAGGCCTGGGAAGCAAAGGGGCTGGCCCGAGACCACACGAGGAGTCCCAGACAGGAGCTAAGGAGAGGACCCGGGTGTCTTGGCTCCAGGCCAGCTGCTCCCCACAAGACCACACTTCCTCCATGACGCACTGGGGGGAGTTGTCCTCAGCACATTCTTTCGAGTAGCCACTAAGGTGGAGATCCTTTGTCCTTTGTCCCTTGAGGGTGGACTTGCTTTTCTGGAACAGCCAAATGTCTGTCACTTGGAGCCCAGGGTTGGTCAACACAGGATGGGCGAGACTATGAAGTAACAACACAGGTTTTCCAAGGGCCTCCTTGAACTGGGCCCCAAGGGCAAAGGTGGGTCTTAGGAAAACACTCTGAGGAATTGCAACATCCTCACAACCAGAGGCAAGCCTCCCAGAGAGAAGAGTGGAGAAAGACCAGGCTCCGGTAGGAATTCCAGAATGATAGACGCTGGAAGGAGCTGGAGAGAGCATGGTCCCTCCCCTCCACAGGCAGGCAGGGACTCCAAGGCAGCCTCCAGCGTCAGCAACAGAACCTTGACTCTCTGTTTTCTAAGCCACTGGATGTCAATGCTCGAGTGCCCCAAACAGGGCTGCTCTGGGCTAAGCCCATCCATGCCATCTCAGACCCGGAACATGCTCCAGATGTCTCTGTGAAGCCTCTTCCCCAAGTGCTGGAGGGTCTCTGCCCTCCTCTTCTGCCTCCATCAGTGGGCCATGTGGCCTACGCTTTCTTGGCCCCACATCCCCAGTGGTGCCAGGATACCACTTCTCACTCCTGAGGCATCACTGGTATGATGTGGCTGTCTACTCAGATGCCATGTTTCTCCTTTTTCCCTCTTGAGTGACTCGCAGATTGCATTCTTTGGTGTCCTGTGTTTCACTGCCATTCAACGCCATCACTAGGGAACTATGAATATCCAAAAGGCAAGGTTTTGTGTCAGGGGCCCCTGGAGGCGCTTTGAAATCCCCGCATAGACTACATCTATGCAGCTCATTTCCACCCTCCCATTAAACTCTGTGCCCAGCTCATTGTCCACCAGTGGAACATCTCTCCAAGCTAGACATGTGTTTGTATTACCACATGTGTGGTTGTATGTACTCAATGTCCATCCTGGTCTGGCAGATGGGCATTCTACATCTGCTTGGATGTGCCAGAAGAGTTCCTGTAGCCTTGTGGGCTTGATGGAATCAGCACCATGTCATCTGCCCAGAGGAGCATCTGCAGGACCGCCCCCTCCCAGGGAATTCTGCTTCCATTTGGATTTTCTGGGCAACTCCAGTGTCTGTGATTGTGACAAAACCCTGCTCAGCCAAATGACACATTCTGCCATCTTTGACACGACCAAACAGAGAATCGGTACAGCGTCCTTTCTGTCTCTGTGCCTATTGAGGAATCTTACGTGATTTTGATACATGGCCAAGAGACTCCTCAGAGCAGCATCTCTGAGGCAGTGGTGTGCCCAGTCAAATGCTTCTGTGTAACAGTGGGACCCTTTGTCTACCTTCCTAAGTCAGTTTGTTGTGTGACTTGAGAGAAAAGGGGGCAGATGAATAAGGAAAGGTCTATTGGCCAGATGGCCCCTGAGATGCAGGGTCAAGGGAGTCCTTTCAGGCAGGGGGAGGGGGG